TGGGGTTTAGGGTTTAGGGTTTAGGGTTTAGGGTTTAGGGTTTAGTGTTTAGGGTTTAGGGCTTGAGGGTTTGAGGGCTTGAGGGCTTGGGGGCTTGAGGGCTTGGGGGCTTGGGGGCTTGAGGGTTTGAGGGTTCATGGTTCGGGGATTTGAGCTTTTTAGGGTCTGGGTCGGGTCGGGCAGCCCAGGAATGAGAATTGGAGCTCTTTTCCGTTCCGGGAAGTTTTTGCATGAAGTTTCCACGAGCAGGTCCGCATGCGACTGGGACTCTGGGACGGATTGGGGGGGCGGGGGAGGGGGGGCGATGTAGAGCTTGGTGATCTGGCCCTACGCCGCACGCACAGCGGCCCGGAATTCAGAAATACCGGCAGTTCTCTCTGAGGAAACCGCAACCCGACACCCTAGCAACAAGCTCCAGAAACAGCCTCAATTTTAGGCCAACATGATCACCCCGAAGAGGAACTACCTTGGGGGACATACACACTATGCTAGTCCAATCAGGCTATATGGACTATAAACTCCTGTCTGAAACCGAAAAATAGCCTAAACTCTATAAAGCTACCAGAAACTCCCACACCCTAGTGCCTATAAACCCTATAAATCGTAGAAAACCTATAAAGCCTGTCAACCCTAAAGTCCTTCAACCCTCAACCCTCAACCCTCAACCCTCAACCCTCAACCCTCAACCCTAAACCCTAAACCCTATCAATCCTGAAACCATAAGCCGGGACTCTCAACCTGCAGCAGTTTCGCCTGCAGGGTCCATGTATCTCGTTCTGATATACTTGGGCTGTATAGGAGGTGCTCTGAGGCACACGTATTCCCTATTTAGGTACATGGACCCCTTGGCCCGAAACCCTAAACCCTAAACCCTAAACCCTAAACCCTAAACCCTAAACCCTAAACCCTAGGGTCAAGGAACCAGGGGGGCCTTTGGACACGGTGGGGCGACTCGAGCTGCGTGCCAACAGGCGCGGGGATTCCTGTCTGAAGCACAGCTTAGGGTCCAGGGTTTAGGGTTTAGGGTTTAGGGTTTAGGGTTTAGGGTTTAGGGTTTAGGGTTTAGGGTCTGAGGGTCTGAGGGTCTGAGGGTCTGAGGGTCTGAGGGTCTGAGGGTCTGAGGGTCTGAGGGTCTGAGGGTCTGAGGGTCTGAGGGTCTGAGGGTCTGAGGGTCTGAGGGTCTGAGAGTCTTCAGGGTTTGGTTTTGAACTGGGATTCAGGGCTTCAGGAACGGTTGTTGAGAGCTGTCTTGGGATTCTGCCGAGAGTCCAGACCGCACCCAGAACACCCTGAGGCCCTAAACCCTAAACCCCAAACCCTCAAGAGCCCGCGTGGTGCAACCCAACAACTCTCGCCGGTGCCTTTGAACGCTTTGGTTCCACACCAAAAAAAAGAAGTGCCCTCGTGGCGTCGATGGTCTTTGAGGACCCTGGAACCCACAAAGGGCAAAAGGAACGATTGGGTTCCTTTGCTCATGGGTTTGGGGTTTAGGCTTTAGGGTTTAGGGTTCGAGGTGGACGTTTCAGGGCTTTGGCTGTAAGGCTTGCAGTCGAAAATGTCACGTCGGCATGAGTGTCAGGTTAAAGACGTCAAGCTGCCAAAGCCCTCAAAAGCAATGGGGTTTAAGCAGGCACAAGCACATATAGACCCGTCATTCCACCAATCAAGGAAACAAACAAAGGCAACTATGGCAACTACTAAGCCAGCACAGACGCGCCTCCTATGGGACGAGATGAGCTCGAAAAGGGTTTACGGTCCATATACACCAAGGTTACAGAAATACTTCTCAGAACACTAATGCTAATCATAACCTGAATCGAAATAGCAATGATCATAACCTTTCCCTCAGAAAAAAACATTAATAGACAATCAATTCTAGGTCCCCCCCCCCCCCCCCCCCCGTGCCCCTTTTCTTGGAGCAGGTCCTGCGCCACGTCCCGATTCTTCGGCCTTTCCGGGCTTTGTGCCTGAGAACTCAATTCGAAAGCAAAGGCGACCGAAGGCCCAAGTTGGGGTTTAGGGTTTCGGAGTTTGGGGTTTAGGGTTCAGGGTTTCGGAGTTTGGGGTGCAGGTACTACATTCCCGATGAAGGTAACGGGAACATAGGGCTCAGTTCCCAAAAAGACCCAGAAAGGGAAATCCCTTAAATGAAAGAGATATAGCGCGGAGACCTGGTACCTATCTTGCTTTTCCCCCAGTATATCTTTGCGGCCCCCATGGTAGAGCAGGAAGGTGGATTTGGCGGTCGCGTGTTGGCTAGAATGTCTTGGGCTGAGTGTGTAGCAATTCGGGAGGGTTTGGGGCAGCCAGCAAGAATTCTGCCCTGGATGATGATCCTGGTCAGTTCGTGGCCTGCTTCAATGCAACCAAGCCCACCCTTAAACTCCGCCCCAAAGACCCCCCCACCCCCTTCTGACCACCAAACCAGAAGCCCTCTACAACCCGAAACCCTAACACAAATCCTAACGACCGTTACCTGGGTTGGCCTTTAAGCCCTGCGAAACAACATAAATTTTTATATTTTATTAAATGTACAGGGACCCTGATAAACCCCTACTGAAAATCGCCACACAAGCGGCAAAAACCACCGAAAACCGTCAACCCTAGACCCCAGACCCTAAACCCTAAACCCTAAGGCCTAAACCCTACACCCTAAACCCTAAACCCTAAACCCTAAACCCTAAACCCTAAACGAACGAATCGGGGGCCTCTTTCTGCAGCGCGGCCGCGCGCCGCCCGGAGCGCTGCCCGGTGCGAAGCTCTGGGGCAGAGCCTTTTAGGGTTGAGGGTGTAGGGTTTAGGGTTTAGGGCTTGTAAGGTGTATATACACTATATATAATATATAGGCATATGTATACATATATGTATACATACATATGTATATATATATATAATATAATATACACCTACATGTGTGCTCACGTAACCCGAATGCCCAAAGCCACAGTTAGTCTTTTACCTCATCATCCACACACCTCAACCTGTCTAAATACATGCGATCGGAAGGCTAAACTCCAAAACCCCCAAATTCCGACAAAACCCTAAAGCCCAAAAACAACCCTGAAACCCACAAACCCTAAACCTTAAAAAGGCCCCAAGTAGGCTTTGCGCACCTTGCCCCAGCCCAAGGGAACGCGACGAGCGTGGCTGGCTGTGCGTAGCCTGCCCAGCAGACAAGCCCGAGAAGTCAGGGCTCAGGGTTTAGGGTTTTGGCGTTTAAGGGTTTTAGGGTTTAGGGGTGCCAGGGGTTTAGAGGTTTTTGGGGCTTTAGGCTTTTAGGGTCCTCAGGGATTTCAAATATTTTGGGCTTTTAGGAACCATCAACCCCTAAACCCTCTAAACCCTAAAACCCTAAACCCCCAACCCTCAACCCTAAACCCTAAACCCTAAAACCTCCGGCCTCCGGCTCTCGCTTGGGTGCCTCTTTTGGCGCGCCAGAAGCTGCAGCAGCATTGGGGCCTGCGGTGTTTAGGTTTAGGGTTTAGGGTTTAGGGTTTAGGGTTTAGGGTTTAGGGTTTAGGGTTTAGGGTTCAGGGTTCAGGGTTCAGGGCCTGATAGGAACTCACCTGAACTCGCCCTCGGTGCCCCCAAAACCCTGGTGCCCTTTTGATGTTGACAAAATTGGGTTTCACAAGAAAACCGAGCCACACCCCCCGAACCTCCCAAAAACCTCTGAAACCTCGCAAAGCGCAGGGAGGCTCCGACCTTGGCCAACCCCTACAGGGTTTAGGGTTTAGGGTTTAGGGTTTAGGGTTTAGGGTTTAGGGTTTAGGGTTTAGGGTTTAGGGTTTAGGGTTTAGGGTTTAGGGTTTAGGGTTTGGGCTTCACAACCTCACTGGTTCCCCGGACTTTAAACAACAGGCATCGGGTGGAAAAACAAAGAGGGCTGATTCAAGGCATCAAGAGCACTGATTGGAGGTTCATGGTACTTTATAAACCAATTCTAACTGTACATATAACTGCTTCGAAACTTTCTCTGACGCCATCTCCGAATGCGTCCTCGCGGAGCTCGCACGCGGCTGCGGCTGCCCGCGGCGGGCTCCTTCGGCAGAAGTTAGGGTTTGGGGTTCAGGGTTTATAGCGTTTATAGGGTTTAGGGTCAAGGGTCTAAAATTAGGATTTAGAGTGCAGCAGTGGGGGTCTGCAGGGCCTGGTTTCGGGGCGAACCCTGAACCCTGCTTATCCTCAACGTCCGACAGGGCCCTCAACCCTAAGTTCAAGACCCTGAAGCTTACAGCAGGAGCCCAAGAAAAGGAGAACCTTTTTCGGGGTGACAAGCGGGAGTCTTTAAGAAAGAAGTGGGGGGGGGGGGGGGGGGGCGGTTAAACTACTCCCCAAAACCTACCCAAACCCCTGGGAGGATCCAAAAAATAGAGCCCCCAAATAGTACCCTATACTACTGTTGGGTCATCTTTAGGAACCCTTAAGGGGATCTATTAGGGTTTAGGGTTTAGGGTTTAGGGTTTAGGGTTTAGGGTTTAGGGTTTAGGGTTTGCTCCTCCCAGGGGTCTGGGCTGAGGCCCCCCAAAGCCAACCCTGAACCTCGCCTTGAGGAATCAATTCCCTCCCCCTAATATTAAACCCCACTGCCCCCCAACAGGGTTTAGGGTTTAGGGTTGAGGGTTTGGGGTTTAGGGTTTAGGGTTTAGGGTTGAGGGTTTAGGGTTGAGGGTTTAGGGTCCCGGGTCATAACTATAATGGGCGCATGATTTAATCTTACGGGGTAGGGGGGTTTAAGAGTCGGGGGAGGGGATTCGGGTCTAGGGTTTGGGTCCTCTTCCCAGAGCCCTACAATAGCTTTTTGGAAAGGCAAGTCCAGGCTCTTGGAAGAGCTCTTGAATCCTTCTACCCAAACCCCTGGGAGGATCCGAAAAATAGAGCCTCCAAATAGTACCCTATGCTACTATTGGGTCATTTCTAGGAACCCTTCAGGGGATCTATTTTTTGGATCCTCCAAAATTTCTGGGTAGCCCCATGTGGTGAAGGAGCTGATTGCCTCTTCAAATAATTCGAGTCAGCATTTCAATCTCCTGCCGCGGATATCCACCTTGCAGAAGCTCCCTCCCACTGAAGCCGGCTTGCACCAATTGCGGCGCTCCCAGACCGGCCTCGCGAAGCTCCCGCACCGTGAACCCATTCTCCTTACTTCTCCAATAAGCAAGGGAAGAAAATATGGTCAGACTTTACTACTCCTACTGAATAAGCAAGCCCCGACAGTTTAAAGAGTAACTGTTGGCTAAGTAAGTCTCATGGACCAACTCCAGGAGTGAGAAGCCTCCATCGACCAGCTCCTGTAGGGCGAGCCCCGACTTCCTCAACTCTGCAGCGTTGTGTCCGGCGTCTCGAAGCTCTTTAAGGGAATATCCCGCCTCCAGAAGCTCTTTCCTTTTTTGGTCGAACCAACCTGCCTGCATCCACGTTGCCCTTGAGGCTCCATTTCGAAGATCTGAATCCGTTGGTGCTTTGAAGCCGGCATCTCTGAGGAACTTTTCGTTGCAGCCCGTTTCACGTAGCTCCTGCGCCGTCACGCCCGCCTTGCGAAGGACTCCCGGATGGAAGGACGACACCAGCATCATGCGGATCCAGGCTCGCCGATAGGCAGGCTCCACCACCACCGGCGACTTCATGTCTGGCTCGGAATCGCGCACCAGGCGTAAGAATTCGATCAGTGGCACGAAGACTTGAGGAGAATAGTCCACAAAGAGCCTGCCCTCTTCATCAAGTACATGTTGCCACCGTTCCGAAAACATGGAGGCAAAGTGGTTGTCACCCGCCACGCTGAACAACTCGGGCTTCACTTTAATGACCTTTTCGCCACCAACATCGATCAGAACAGTTTTGGGAGCTTCCATGGCTGCAGATCCACAAGGATTACACCCCTAAACCCTAAACCCTAAATCCTAAACCCTGGGTGGAAAGGCCTAGCACCAAGATATCCATGCAACTTGGCTTGAAGGGAAGACCATGTGGGACAACAGGATCCGGCCTAGGGCTAAGATGCTCACTAACCTAGGATTACAAAGGGTACCCTTTTCTGCTTATCCCTTAGCTTCGGGTTTAGGGTTTAGGGTTGGGGACTACAGAAAACGGACAAGTTCCAGATTCATCGTGAACAAGCTTTCATTGGACCTGCAGTCCTCAAAATCTCGGACATTTCCTGTGACCCCCTACAGGTTTCCAAATATATCCCCCATCGCGTCCAAGAGACTCTGTACTCCCAAGCTTCAGGAACTCGCTTAGGGGTTGGGCACGGTTTAGGCACAGTTTAGGGCTTAGGATTGCCTCTGCCACTTTGGAAAACGACCGCCCCTTCTGCAGGGTGCGCTCAAAGCAGCTAGCGCAGAAACCACAGGATCCATGATACAGAAACAGCAAATACCCCTAAATGGGCCCCTAAACCCTAATAAACGGGCCCCTAAACCCTAAACCCTAAACCCTAAACCCTAAACCCGAAACCCTAAACCCGAAACCCTAAACCCTAAACCCTAAACCCTAAACCAAAAAAAAAAACCTAAAGCCCTAAACCCTAAACCAGGCAGGCTCTCCGCCTCAGATCTCTGAGGCTGCGCCCCAGCTCTGGCTGAGGACCTAGGCTTCGAAGCTTGAGTGTTTCAGGGCCTCAAGGCCTTACTTGCAGGGTTTAGGGTTTAGGGTTTAGGGTTTAGGGTTTAGGGTTTAGGGTTTAGGGGTAGGTATAAGTAGGGTTCTGAAGTATGCCAACTATACTTATACCCGTATTTAGGGTACTTAAAACCCTACTTATGACTACCCAAGAACCTCCCAAGGAGGGCCTTAGGCCCTACAGAGCCTTGGGGCGTCGGGAGCGGGGCTTAGAAGGCTTCGAGTGGCTTTCCCTTTGGGGCTTTAGGCTTCGGGCTTCGGGGCTTTAGGGTTTAGGGTTTACTTGGAGGTTCAGGGAACTTATAGCCCCAGTTAGAAAGCCCCCTAAGTCCTCTAAGTAGGTGATCAGGTAGACTTCTAATTGGGGTTCTAAGTACCCATGTAGGGTTTAGGCTTTCGGGGTTTTGGGATTAGGGTTTAGGGTTTAGGGCCTCGGGGGTTTGGGGGTGCGGAGGGTTTCGAGCTTCGAGCTTCCGGTTTGTAAGGACATGGTGCTTTGGGTTTGGGGGACTCGGGTCTGGGGTGTGGTGTTCTTTTATGCTTTGGCTTTAGGGCTCAACCCTAAACCCTAAGCCCTAAACCCTAAAGCTTTGGGTTCGATGTGATTTTGGTTGAACTCGGATTTGATCGAAGATCAAAAGCTTGCGGGTGATAGCTCACAGCTCCCACTCCAGGTCTAGGTTCATTCGCTTTTCTAGACCCGGGAGTAACCTAGGAATGAAAAGGGTGGCCTTTTTGGTTCTAAGGGGATTCTAAGGGAACCCCAACCCTAAAAAAAATGAAAAGAGGGCCTACTCCCGGTTCCTTCGCTTTTTTGATCACGATAGGTTCTCCACGGATCTGCCGACACGCAAGTCGGGGAGGGAGGTCTGAAGGGCTTAAGGATTCTGGACCCCCGGCAGCAAACCCTGCCTCGGTTTAACCCTAACCCTAAACCCTAAACCCTAAACCCTAAACCCTAAACCCTAAACCCTAAACCCTAAACCCTAAACCCTAAAAGCTTTATAGGGTTCACAGGGTTCTTATAGGATGTAGAGGGTTTGTAGGGTTCACAGGGTGCGGGATTCCATGCTTTAGGGCTTCGCATTTAGGAATCTGCAGTCTTTGAGGGTTTAGGGTATAGGGTTTAGGGTTTGGTGTTTAGGGTTCAGGGTCGGATGCTGAGGGTTCTGCTTCTTGGTTTAGGGCTAAGGATTTAGGGGTTCAACGGGGCATTCCAGGCAGAAATGCTTTGGGCGCTCCGACCTGTGCAGGGCTTGTGTGGCCGCAGCCTATTTAGGGTTTAGGGTTTAGGGTTTAGGGTTTAGGGTTTAGGGTTTAGGGTTTAGGGTTTAGGGTTTAGGGTTGCGGGTTTAGGGCTTAGGGTTTAGGGTTTAGGGTTTAAGGTTTAAGGTTTCGCGCGTGGGGCCAGTTTGAGGTTTGGGGTCTGATGAGGGGTTGGGGTTTAGGGATTGGGGTTCAGGTTTCCCTGTAGCCTAGCAGAAAGCGAGGCGGCCCTTGCTTCTTTAACTCGGCCGTAATTAATAGGACCCGAACCGAAAAAAAGAACAGGAAAAGAGCACCACAGCCTGAAAGCTTAAAGTCCCTACGCGACAAGACGCAATCAACCTCCACCGGCAGCCAGGTTGCGCAGGCTCGCGGGGGGACTTCAGGGCGTCGCGCGGCGATGAGAGCCACTCCTCAAGGCGTTTTGGAGCGTTTAGGGCATTTAGGTCTTGAGGATCCCCCAAAAGCAGACTCTGGTGTAGTTAACCCTAAACCCTAAACCCTAAACCCTAAACCCTAAACCCTAAACCCTAAACCCTAAACCCCCAAACCCTCAAGGGCCCTCGACCCCTGCAAGGCTCGGGTGAAGCAAAATGAACCCACTGGTCTCCGGTTCTTTGCCAACAGCTTGGAGGGAGACGCCTACTGTAGTATCTCCTGGATGAAGGAGCAACCTAGGAAGAAAAAAGGGGTACCCTTTTTGGTTTTCAGGGGCTTATAATGGAACCGGTGCAGCCCTAAACCAATGCTGAGGTTCCTAGACTCTGCATGGCGTGTGCACGAGAAACACAGCCCGAAAGCCCCCTTGACACACCGTCCATGTCGCCAGCTTGCAACCGCTAATCTGAAGCCCTAAACCCAAAACCCAAAACCCAAAACCCAAAACCCTAAGCCTTAAACCCCAAACCCTAAACCCTAAACCCTGAACAGCAGCAGCCTAGGTTTGGCGGGGTGGAGGGCTATGCCAAACCCTGAAGCCCACATCGGGTGCGCCCAATGCAAGGGCACTAGAGACCAGAAAACCCAAGCCCTCAACCGCAAAAAAACACTGCAACTAAAGAAGGGAACCCTGATACAGGAGCCTGGATGATAACCAACATCATCTTCTTACATATCCCTGAATAATTGACATTGAAACTACTCATTCCAATTGAACCCAAGACCCTGAACCCTAAACTCCAAACCTGAAACCCTAAACCGTATACGCAGCTTAAACGGCCCCTACATTACACATGCCATGTGATCCTGCGCTCCATTTCTCTCCAGGGAGGTTGGGTAGCCAGACAGCTGAGGCGGACCTCGCTCGGGGCATAGCTGGATGCCGGTGAAGGACATGAAGTTACCACAACAAGGGTTTAGGGTTTAGGGTTTAGGGTTTAGGGTTTAGGGTTTAGGGTTTAGGGGGTCGTTTTCCGAATTCGGGTCCCTTTGTCGGGTCCTTTCTATAACGTGCCGCACTATCGAGGGCCCCCAAGGAGGGAACCTAATCTAGAGAACTGCCCACTGAGTCACATGAAGCTACCATAGTAGGGCTTTAGGGCTTCGAGTTTAGGATTAACCCTAAACCCTAAACCCTAAACCCTAAACCCTAAACTCTAAACCCTAAACGCTACGTAGCACAAGTTCCTCAGCAAGAACCCTGCCTGGGGTCTTTCGGAGCTTCAGGGCTCTTGGGGCTTCAGGTTTGAAGGCCGGGGTTGCAAGGGAATAGGTTTGGGATTTAGGGTTTCGGGTTTAGGGTTTTAGGTTTTAGGGTTTAGGGTTTAGGGCTTAGGGTTTAGGGCTTAGGGTTTAGGGTTAAGGGTTTACCCTAAACACTAAACCCTATAAGGGCTTCAGGGTTGAAGGGCTTTGGGGTGAGTTTGTTGCGATTGAGATTATTGTGATTGAGATTAAGGCTGAGGACACCGGGAGGCTCAGGCAGCACAAGCTCGAACTGACGGATTCCCTTCCCCCGACTCCCTTAGCAGAATCCGATGAGGTTTAGGGTTTTGGAGTTGAGGGACAAGAAATAGGAGGGTTTGGGGTTTAGGATTTTGGGGCTTAGGGATAAGAAACTACAGACTTTCCATGAGAAAGGATATTTGAATGTTCAGGGGGGAAGGGAATTCGTCACGAAGTCGTGCCACGGATAGATGTCAGATGGTGTGGTCACCGGCCCCCTCACCCTAAGCCTAGAACCCGAAACCCTCTCCAACCCCCCCGTGGCCAAAAGCCTCTTCAACCTTGCCCTGCACCCATCATTTGTAGCCTCAGGGGCACCCCCTGCTGCCCTAAACCCTAAACCCTAAACCCTAAACCCTAAACCCTAAACCTTCCTGGGGTCGCGCAAGCTTTGCACCCGAAGCCCAACGCCTACGAAGCCAGAACTCCCAACTCCTGCCTGCGGTGCCAGAGCTCACCTGCCCAAAGGGTCCATGTACCCATATAGTATATACTTGGGCCCCAAAGCTACTATATGGGAACCCCTTTAAGGCCCAAGTATATACTATATAGGTACATGGACCCTTAGGGCTGGAGCAGGTTGGCTGTGGCGACTTCCGGGGCTTAGGGTTTTAGGGTTTTAGGGTTTCGGGGGCCTGGCCCTACTGGAAGCCTTCCACCGCCATTCAAGAGCAATGGTGGCGTTTCAGGGATGAGGGGTGCTACAAGGCCCAGTAAACCCCAGACCCTACAACCCTAAACTTCTAACAAGCCCTAGGTCCTGAGCGGTAGTGCCTAGACCCCAAAAATAGCGACGCTGGCACAAAAGAGGGCTACGTACTAAGCAACCCAAGCAACTCTACTCTACGGAGGTCCTGTTGCTTGGGATTTTCTAAACCCTAAACCCTAAACCCTAAACCCTAAACCCTAAACCCTAAACCCTAAACCCTAAACCCTAAACCCTAAACCCTAACCACTTGAAGGCTCAGGGGACGAAGGCTTCCAAAAGGAGGGCTGAACAAGTCCCATACGGCTGAACATC